GCCTTAAACGTGGCAGCATATAATATACTTAACCTCTAAACTTTAGTATTTAACAATTATTAGCTAGTATATAAGTAGAAGTGTGGATAATATTCTGATACTAATTATTGAAAACAATATTATTTTCTAGATATTGCTGAAATAGAATAGAAACCTAGAAACTCTCTAACTATATTTCTTTATCATCTTATCTTTGAAAGAAAATAATATTTTCCAGTTAAAACATGAAATTTCTCTTTTCAAATACTATGACTTTTCTAAGACAATGTTTGTGAGGTTGACAATTGGATAGCTACCTTGAATAATGAAAGGTGAAAAGATATCTTATGAAAGGTAAACATAATATTGATTTTTATGGTTGTTGCTACAATTTGTTAATTATAATTTACTTATGGACCTTCTACAATCTTTATAAAGTGGTGGAAAGAAAAGAATGTTGATATAATATGGAATTGCTTGGTTTTACAATATTATTTTTCCTTTGAGTTTAACTTCACATTGAATCATTTCTTTGACATATAGAATCCAACTTAAACTCATAAAGAACTATAATTAGATACAGACTAGTGGCACTTACATGAAAACGAAAAATATTTTAGGTTCAAGGGTTTGTGGTATACAGGTAGATGACACTCTAATTAGCATAGTTCAAATTTAAATCTAGAAATCATATTTTAAAATAATGACTTTAATATTATTTGATTTCATAATAGATGTTTCAGTAATCTTCATGCAGATAAGATAAAATATTCATATATAAAATAAATATAATTTTGCAAGTGTTAACTATGAATTCAAAATACATACTGGAAAATATGATGATATTCGAACTGATATAAAATTGTATATCTTAGAAAACAGTTACCTGTAGAAACATATCCCAAAGGTTAACTTAAAATCAAAAATGATATCACACTCCAGCTACCTCCATCCACAGGTCTTTACAAGTGTATAGACAGTGAGGTGATTTTTTAGAATCTATAATATATTCATCCCTAGGCACACTTGAGCATCTGCTCTTTATTTGGGATTTGATTCTTATACTTTTAAGTTAGTTAAGCTGCTGAACATGCAGTTCTTTGGAACCTCATTAATTTTAACTAGACTTTGTTGAATTGTGGAAGATTGTCATAGTTCAGAGGTTACAAATAACAGCAGTGATCAAGTTATTCTGTAGATATTCAAACCTTCAATTCCTAGGGTTTTTGCCAGTCATGTTCCCCTCCAGTCAGAGTCAATTAGCTGTCAGTCTAAAGGACTATTTGCAAAGGCTTCTGTGTTCCACTTGAATAAACATCCTTATGATAAATGTAGCAAAACATTTCAATATCATCATATGTAGATTTTTCAAAAGTCTTCCACTGTATTTCCCTTCTCAACAACTTTCCTAGTGTACCCTGGAGTTTATGCAAAGATGCATGATATTGTGTAAGTCTGATTTATCCTCTAATTTATTTGTTTATCTTAAAATTATAATTCTAGAAGTAAAATGAATTAGGGGTTAACCTAGACAGAAGTATTTTATGCCTTTTCAAGTGGTCTAGCCTATGCTATCTCCTAGAAAGAGTGAGTCGATAGGCAATTTAATTCTAATTTATCCCTCTGCCTCTAGTTTCACTCTGATATATTTTCCAATATTTTACATTAATTCAAATGTGCTTTTTCCAAGATAATAAATTTGAAAAAAATATAGGTAGTACCATGCCATGTCACAATTAAAACAATTTCCTGTCAACCATGAATTAGCTTACGATAAAACCATTACAGAACTTCTGACAGTGTCCATAATTAAGTCTATAGACATGTATAAATCTTTTGCTCATATACTCACTCTGAATTTAAGAAACTGTTTTTAAAAATAACCCCCTTCTAAAATTTCTAATTTCCTAATATTTTTCTGTCAATAGTCCAGACCAATGCCTACTAAACTTAGGCTACCTAAATTAAAATATAAGACTAATGTATATTTTCTGTACATTTTTCCAGGCTAGTTTGCTTTTAGCAAGTTCAACTGCTGCTAAACTTTGAGGTAGTATTTTATATGTTTTCCTCCTTTGTTCCTAGTACAATGAATAATGCAGTGAATATAGAATGCCTTTTATATGTAATATATTTTGATGAAGAGTATATAATCAGGAATGAGTATGAACAAATTATATAGCTTTAGTTTCAAATGCAGACGAATTTAAGCAAAGCATACACAATTTTCAATTTGAGTTTAAAAAATACGGATTTTCCTTACTGTAATCTAGAATTATTCATGGGTCCCCAATTAACAGACTATCCTCTTAAAGATTTCCTTTGAAGTTTCTTTTTGTGAAAAGGGAAAAATTAATTGTTTTCTATGGAAATGCAAAAACAATTATACTGGTCAGATTCTCAGGTTGTAGTTTCATGTCAGGAAAATTAATAGGGTTTTGTGGCCAGGAATAATATTCTGTCATTTGCTCATTATGGTTCTTTGTGGATATTCAGATTTTGAAAATATGCAGCTCTGTTTCTTCTCTTCTCCTCTCTAAAATTCTTGCCCTATTGCTCCAACTTCCACCTAACCCTATGAAATCATACGTACATACTCAGTCTCTTGCATCCCTGAGGTAGTGTAACTACAGTTAGTCTTAGGACATTCCTTTATGTACTGCATTAATCAGAGTTCTCCATAGAAACAAAACCAACTGTGTGTGTGTGTGTGTGTGTGTGTGTGTGTGAGTGTGTGTGCATGTGTATGCTTCTGGAGAGAGAAAGAGACTGATTTTAGGGAATTGGCTCATGATTACGGAGGCTTGGTGAATATACAATCTTCATAGTAGGCTTGAAGTTCAGAGAAGAGTCGCAGTTCAAATCCAAAGGCAGTCTGTTGGTAGAATTCCTTCTTGCTCTGAAAGGTCAGTCATTTTCTACTAAGGCATTCAACTAATTAGGTAAGACCTAGCCACATTGTGGAGGGTAATCTGCTTTACTCAAAGTTCACAGATATAAATGTTAATCTCATTAAAGAGAAAAATACATTGATAGAAACATCCAAAATAATAATTGACAAAATATATGGGCACCATGGCCTAGCCAAATGGACTTGTAAAATTCATCACCACAATATTTAAAACTGGAACTTGGTAATGTTTATACCCATGATATGGAGCATACCTATAGACAGTGACCAAGGGATCTACTAGTTAATCTTGACTGAACAAGTTAAAGTAACAGATAGATTATTTTTAAAATTCCTTTTAATGCTAAGACTGTGAGAATCCTATTTTTTCCTTTTAAATAAATTCTACCTTGACAGCTTGCATAATGAAGTAAGGATTGCAAATGCATATAAAGAAGGCAACAATTTGCTATAAAATATTGCTACAATCATTTTTAACAATACCTACCTCAATAAAGATATAATCATTGTTGTGTTTGTGTTTGTTTAATTTACAGTGATAGAACATTCATAGGTTATAAATACCTTAACTACTCCATGTCTCTAATAAATTGTTTTCAACTAACTGAGAAGAATTAATCTTTATAAGTGGTAGGAAGCACATCAATTGTTAAATTTTAGTGATATTATTATTTTGAAGAACAAAATAATGGTGTTATTAGGGCATAAAAAGTACTGAATATAAGATGATGGCATAAGATACTAAAATTCTGTGTTCTCAGGAGTGTTATCCTTAAATTCAAATTGTTACAATCTGACTTGAAAGATAGATGTACATATAAATATACATATAGAGTTTCCTTGGCAACTGTCATATTCCCAAGATATTATCTGACTTCAAGAAAATGGAATTTGGACATTAACATCTAGATATAATATCAGTGAAGGTATTTGAATTATATGGTTAAATATGAATTAAATTGTACTATGCAATTTTAAAATGTTTCCTTTAAATTGAATATAGATAAGAGTAGTCCAGGCAAAACTGAGAAGTAATAAAAATATGTTAATAGTTATTTTAATCCTTCCTTTTCTGTTTTTTTTCCTTCTTCATCCCTTGCTTTAGAGAGCTATCAATGTTTTCACAGTCTCTCTCTTCTACTAAAAATCATTTTCTAAGAAAAGCCTCTTTGGAGGATAGGACGCCTAAGCAAAATCATGAACTGTGAATTGGAAGTTAGCCAGGTGCAGATGGAGAGAAGGCATTTGAGCCTAAGAAGCAGCATGTGCAAAGGCACAGAGGTGTGAGAAAGCGTGACCTCACCAGGAAAATGCCATTAGTCATTCTGTCACTACTTAAAAGTAAAGAAATTGACTTTATCTTTATGAGAAAGTTAATGATTATATAATTTATATCAAATAATGCAACTATGATCGAATGCCCTGAGAGTTGAGAGTCTATTAGTACTAGTTCTGCAGCTGCTGATATTGCATTTCGTTTGGGGATATGTAATTTAATATAAGGCTATCACATCAGTTTGTTGTTGTGTATATCTCCACAAGTCTTTATTTTCTTTAAAACAAATCAAATTATAAGATATTCATTCTACCATTCTACAAGTGCTGTTCTATATCTCCAGTCAATTTATACAAATGTTATGGATATCTAATCAATCATTCATTCATTTATTGACTAAATAACTATTTCTCTAATGCCTACTAGAAGCAATGCTGGGAACTGTTTTCCTGTCGTGTATATAGTGCTCAATGAAAAAAATCAAGGCCCTAACCTCATGAGATTTTTATTTTAGTGACATAAATCCTAGTGCATAGGACCAAAATACCCTTTTATTCAGTAACTTCAGATCTGAAAACTTTGCTTTGTCTTCCATGTTGTATTTGGGACTCAGGAATCTTTGCAAAAAATGGTATATATTACCTCCTTGATGTGCTTTTGTAGGACAGGGTTCTATGTTCTCATTGCTCAGGGGATCAACAAGTGTTTCTCTGTCTCTCATTTTTGACATCATTATTCCCTACTATGAAGTTCATCAGAGATACTCTTCATCTTCTTTTTCCAATAATCAAATCAGTCAGTTTGGATTTTGACAAAGACAGAGAGTGTTTTCTACCTGATTATGTCTGCTTTCCACTCTACTAAAGGCATCACGGTGGGAAATTACAAAGCTTCTCCACTTGACAAGAAAGAACAAAGGAAAAAATACAAAAATTAATATCACCCAAAGTTGTCCTGCTATATATGTAAGACAAGTATCCACTTATTATTTTTAGAGCAGCCATGAGCTAGTAGAATTTTATAATCTAAACTTTTCATACAGTGAAGTAACATTCTACTCTGTCAAAGATTAGGGAGGAAAGATAGGATGGTATAAGATTGGTGGGAGTTAATTGTACTCTCTCTCATTGGCAGATGCCTATCAGTCTTTGTGGACCTTAACAGGATATGGAGGGTAAGTGGTGACTCTCAATGATGAAAGAGAGCCACCTACAGGAACTAGTCAACAGGGTTACTTGAGGGTTTTGAAGCATCTGGGATTGGGTATACCGACAGTTTGTAGAGATAATAGTGATGTACAGAATTTGAACATGATATAAGCATTTCTTTGGGAGTTCTAATGCTTCCTTATGAAGAGGAAAAATGATGAAATAATACTAGCTGACATTTTCAGAGTGTTACTAAGTGCTAAGCACTGTCACAACAACTTCACATATAGTAAATAATGTAACCTTCACAATAATTCTATGAGGAAGCTACTGTTATTATGTCCAATTTTCAGTTAAAGAGGATAAAGTACAGAACAGTTAAATAAGCATTCTTAAATATGGTTAGTAAATGACAAAATTGGTATTTAATCAAACCCAAACAGTATAATTCAAAAGTACATATTTTTAACCATCATCTGGATGGAGGGAGTGTTTAAGATTTACAACTTAGTAGCGATAAACAGAAGAATATTACCTGAAAGCTAGTCTTGTATACTCAGATAAACTATGGTGTTCTCCTTTTAAACACAGCCTTTTCATTGAATATCAGCATCAGAAAATATGACTCTGTAGCCATGTTGGACTGAAACAAAACCATCAAGACTGCTTCATAATCTCGTCTGAACATACAAAACATGAGCAATGTCCAAGGCACAAAAATGACCAAATTATTCCTGTCTTAGCTAATTGGAATGCATGCTGCTTCATTACTAGTTAAAGCTTTGCCTCAGTCCAATCTTCCTTCCTCCTACATAAGATTAATAATCAAATACCCCTGCTTCCTGAAAACATCCAATCAGAGCAAAGCCTCACTTCCTTAATTTAATTCTAAAATGACATAACATAGCCCTAGTCCTGTAATAGGTCTTTTCTAATTCCTTCTTACTGATCTACCCTATGGTATGTGTTCTTGCTCTTGCAACAATTAGCCCGATTTGTTCAACCACATATATTCTTGGTGGTCTTGTCTGGAGTAACTAAATTGTTATTTGGCCATTGGCAATGGAGTTCATTGTGATACTAACCAATGAAGCATAATGAAGTGATTATGCAGAAATGTAAAAAAAAAAATAAAAGAATAAAAAATAAATACTCAGAGAAAGACATAAAAAAAGAAGAGAGGGGAGAAGAGGAGAGAGTGAGAGCACAAACAATTCTTCAAGCTATATCTAGGACTGGGGCTGGAAGGCAATTATTTTATTAATGATTTTAGACTTTACAAAGGTTTAAAAGCCTTTGTTTCGCCAACCTTTATATTGATCGTTACATATTATGTAACCTGACTTTAAGACAAGGCACTTTACCAGTGATATACTTTAATATTTCTCCCTCGTTGCAGAGTGAAGGATATCCCACAAGCAGAGAAAAAGGGCATACTTAGAGGTAAGAGGTCTTTTCTGGAGCCAACATAATGCCACACAAACACAGTCAACCCTGCAAGTAAGCCTTAAGCAGTAAAATTAGAATACTAAACAAACACATTTTCAAAAAGATATATTTCTATCTGTTATAAATTGTGTAAGAAAACTTTTTGCGAATTGGCTTAAATGATAGAAGAGTTTAGAACTCTAACTTTCAAATTGTAATATATATGCCTATTCCTCAGCAAAAATTATGTTGGAAATGTTTTAGCTATAGTTTAAGGTTAAAGTATGAAAAAGACTAATCATTATTAGTATATTCATAAATTATATTTATATTATTACTTTCACATTAATAAATGTTTTATATTGTAAGGGTGGAAAGGATTCACCAAAAAGTTCACAGTTGCCCATTCTTCTTACAAATGCGTGGTTAGTAAGTAGATCATGTAGGAGAAAAAGGACCTTAATGTCCTTCCCTAACCTAGCTTTCTCCAGCAATGAGATCATCAGGTCAGCTCTTGTCCCCATAGATAAAAGTCAAACTAAAACCCTGATGTAATCAGATTCAATGTATTAATAGTTTTCAACAATAGTAGTATTTAGTAAATCTCTCTTGTTTTTATTAGGAGCTAAAATGTACAATGTATTGCCCTTTGTTCTACCAGCTCAATATATAGGAGGAAGCAAACCAACCTTATATGAAAATTGGTGTATAGCTTACTGATATCATCCAATTCAACATAATACACTGTAATTATATCTTAGTTTTTGAATGTGAAGCCTGCAAAATATAGCCCATTTGAGCTAGAAAATAAAACAAAAATTTTAGAGACCGATTCCTCCTTCTCTTGTAATATTTGAAAGAAATGTATTCCCTAGAAATCAAATTAGACCCTTCTCTATTGATTCATGTAAATATTTAATGGCAGAATGAGAAATAGAACATTGTTCTCTCAACTCTTTCAATTTAGTGTTTCCTCTGCCGCTTGTGTGTGCACCTGTCTGGGTGCACCTATATGTTCCCATATGCTTGTGTTTTGGTTGGATTTTTAAGATGAGTAATTTAATGTGATTAAGTCTCATATAGTTCCTATGGAATATAATTTATATTAAAAATAGATTTGCCAGTAAGAGTTATAAATTGAACCCATTTAAATAATTAAGAAAATTCATGTAGATTTAGAAATATAGATTCAATTACCTTTTGAGCCTCGGGATACTATAGATAAATAAAAAGACAAGTTGCACAAATGTAGGTGGTTAATTGGGAAAAGGAAACCAGTAAGATTTGACATAAATTTTCATTTTACCTGAAGTATATCTTTTGTTTTATAACTGGTTTGTTACAAAAAATAAAAATGCATTGTCAACAATATTTAAATGTATGTTTTTGCATTTCAATATAGATGGTAAAAAATTGAAATTAAATACAAAAATGGATTTTAGAGGAAACTAGGGAGAGGTCAGTTGGCAATCTATTTTGTTATTCTTTTAAAGTATAATAATATGTTATTTTTCTCTGAATAATTTAAGAGTTTTTATCACCTCTGTTATTATATTTATTATTAACATTACTTTTGATTGACAAAGTAATTGTATACATTTGTGCAATATAATTTGATATTTTAATATGTGTATGCAATGTGGCATTATTAAATCAAGCTACTTAACATATCCATCATCATGCTTACCTACCATTTTTTATGGTGAGATATTTGAAATTTACTCTTAGTTATTTTGAAATATCTAATACATTATTATTGACTATGGTCACCTTATTGTGCCATAGATCTCAAAACCTATTCCTCCTGTCTGTCTGCAACTTTGTACCTTTTGATCAGTAATTCTTGTTCACTCCCAGATATGGTTTTATGTGGTCTTTATAAACTTTATAAAGTCATTGTTAACTTTACAATGTTAAAATATTGTATTTGTTCTTTGTATATATTTATACTGCTTGGAGTCAACAGATATTTGCAATTATGTGGGTTAAAGTCTTTAATCATTTTTGTTGTTGTTGTTGTTGTTATTGTTTTTATTTCAGGAAAGTATGAGAGTACAAACCTTTTGGTTACATTTTATATCTTTGCCTCTCCTTAGCAAGGGTTAGAGGTATGTCCTTCCCCTCCACAATGCTCACTCCATCCCTCATTATCTTTTCAAATATTTCTTCTAATTAATTAGTTCTAGCCTTTCATTCTGGGACTACATATCTGGAATTAAACATACAGATTTTAATCATTTTTCTTATATCTCTTATGTTCTTGCCTACTTTCTTCTATTCTTTCATGTTTCTATGCTTAAGTTTTGATATTTCCTGAAAACCTATTCTTCATAGTCACTATTCCTTTTGCTTTTCTGAATCTGTTAAATCCACACACTATATACACATACATTATACATGTGTGCTTATATTTTTTGTGTGTATATGCATACACACACACACACACACACACACATAACACTACACCAAGTGTCAGAATGTACATTCTTTTTATGTGTATATGGAATATTTAGAAACGTAAATTGCATATGACTTCTGTCATATTCACAAACACTGACTCATTTCAAATGATTGAAATCATTCAAAATATGTTCTTTGTTCAAACTGGAATTAAGTGACAATTAATAATAAGCAAACATAACTGTAAGGTACACAACTGGTAAGAAAATAAGAAAAATACTTTCATTAGAAATTGGATGATATCTTAGATCAAATAATTATTATACATGTTGTACATATTATACATATTGTACATCATTATACAATGTACCAACATTTGTAGATTACAGCTAAATGCTTTCTTAGAGTAACAATTTGTAACCTAAAACATACATTACAAAACAAGAAATTATAAATGATGAATGTCAGTAGTCTACATTTCAATTTTAAAGAGAAAAAAGAAAGAAATATGAAAGAGAAAAAATGAAGTAAAACAAATTAAACCAAAGAAAGTAGATAGAAATATTTTCAAGCTATAAGTAGAAATTGATGAAGTAGAAAGTAAGCATGATAATTAATTAAATTATGCATATACTTTATTTCCACAAACAAATAAAAATTCATTTTCACTGGGTTTTCTGATAAGTATTTCTAATTGTGTATGAAAGAACTAAAAGTTTTTCAAACACAAACTTTTTCAAAAAAGCAAGGAATTCTTCTTAAGGCAAAGATATCTGGTAACAGTATAACAAGGAAAAATCCTTCTCACATAAAATAATTGCAAAATCTTAAAAAAAAGAAAATTGAATAAGTCCAGTAATATACAAAAATATAAGAAAGTGAGATTTATTTTATGGATATAAGTGCAGTTAAATATCAAAAA